ATTTCTTCATTCATTCATTTATTATTTGTATATTTCTAATTCAAAAAAAAAAAAAATAGAAAAAGAAGAATTCATTTCTATTTGTTAAACAAACCACTTAACTTGCACGTGTGATAATAAATTCAATTATTCGTATGGGAGGAAAAAAAAAAGCAGCATTTTAGTTTGACAATTATTGGCCAATTGTCACACGTGACATTATATTGTTTAAACATATCTATAATACATAAAAAAAAAAAAAAAACAAGATAAGCACTTAACAGAGTGGGGTGAGGTGGGGGAGGGTGATGATGATGATAATGATGATTCACGTAAATGGAACACTTAAAATTATTTATAAACTAATCGTTACAAAAATAAAACAAAACTCTTAAATGCAATCAACATATTATTCCTAATTTATTTTCCTTGTACTTTTGTTTTGTTATTTGTTTGTTTTTTTTTTCTTTGTTTAATTGACGAAACTAATTTTGTGTTTGTTCATTCGTTCAAATTATTATTCGCTAATTATGAAATAATATTTGATATTAAAAAAAAAAAAAAATCCATTTCAAAAGTATCGAATGTTGTTTTTCTTTTTCTTGCTTTTTTTTTTTTTTAAATTATTCAACAACGTGTATGGAAAAAATTAAATGAAAGATAAAAAAAGAAAGCTGACAATTCAAAGATTTCCAAATATTATTATTATATAAATAAAAAAAAAATACATTCGAAGAATTTTAATATTGCAATCATAAACAAAAAAGCAATCACCACTCACTACCACCACCACCACCACCACCACTACTATCACTGATGATCAATGCAATGTGCACATATAGATTTGACTAAAAATAACTTCAATTACAGATTTGATTCAATTGTATTATAAAAAAATAAAAAAAAAACAAACAAACAAACAAATATTTTTTCCGATCTTCCTCAACAACGTGTTGTTTGTCCTAACCCGAAAAAAAAAGAAGACTTGATATGAATAAAAGAAAAGAAAAGATGATATTAAGATGATATAAAGATGATAATGATAAATAATAAAACTGAAGAATAAACAAATACGATCGGTAAAGATTAACCTTTGCTTATACCAACCACCCTTCCTGGAGTGCCAACGCTTACTACACCCGACTCTTTTGGACCCGTGCAAGAAAAATTGTTATAAACAATTAATTATTGCATAGATTTACTTCAACATTTTTTTTCACACTTCTTTAATACTCACTTAAAATTACTATATAGGTTTTGTAGCATTAAATTAAATTTAAATATGTTGAAAAAAATGACCAAAGTTGAGTACAATTGAGAAAAATGACTGAAGTTGCAATAAAAGGTCGTCTGGGTCCATTTCTGGACCAAGTGTGTTAAGCAAAGGTTAATATAAACAATAAATTAATATGATGAAATATTTTTAAATTATTTTCATAAATAAAATCTGCAAATGTTTCAAATACCATTGTGAATTATTTGAACCATGATAAACCATGACAAACTGATAATTGATATCAAATTGCATACATGTTTGTATACTATTCATCGAATTTGATCTAATAAATAATTCGCATAAAAATTATTTAAATATTTATTTGCAATTATAAAAAATAAAAAATATTAAAAAAAAATGATAAAGTTAATGAATGCTTCCAATTTTTTTTGTTCACAAACATGTCTCAAGTATTCTTATGGGACAATTCTAGAAAATAATGCCATACATGTAGTATTAGAAGAAAGTTTAATTATAATAATTATTTTCTTTTTGTTTTTTTGTTTATTACAAACACAATCCCACAAAGTATTGAATAATAATCATTTAATTAACTAACGAGAAGAAGACTACTACTACGATTTCTTCAATATTGTATTCAATTTTTTTATATTAATAAATAATAGAAATTGATCTGGCCATATATACAAATTTTGATTTTTACTTGGAAAAATTGTACAAAAGATGTTATCACAAAAAATAAACAAAAAGAAAAGAAAAAAAAAAAGAAAAAAAAAGGAAGAAAATATAAACGAAACAAAACAAAACGATTCGTCGAATGAAATAAAACAAACAATTCCCATTACCTTCGATAAACTTTTTTTTCCTGTCCATGTAAACGTAATAAAAAAAAAAGAGAAAAAAAACACACACACACACATACAAATATAAACGTGAACAGAAAAATAAAAACGTAAGAGAACATTTTACAAACTATCATCTACTACTAATTACGAAATAACCCTCCCCCGCCCGCCCACCCCCCAAAAAAAACCAGCAGAGTAAACGAAAAGTAAAAAAGTTTAGGTGAAAAAGAAAAACAACAAGGGATGATCTGAAAATAAAGCGGGGTAAGAAGACTAATAGGAAGTTAATTTGAAGGTGTAAGGTGTAAAGGGGTGGGGGTGAGTTATACCAATTACAAAATAACCCCCTCTCCCGCCCCCCTAAAAAAGAAGAATAAACTAAGACAAGTTATAAACTGAAACTAAACGGTGCTAAGAGGATGAACTGAAACTTAAACAAAGACAAGGGATGAACTGAAACTAAACGGGGATAAAAAGAGGAGTAGTGAATTAAATTAATTGAATGATAATGATAGGGGTGTGGGTGGGTGGGGGGTGAGTTAGAAATTAAAAAATAAAAAAAAATCAAAGACATAAAAAGCAATAAAGAAGACAATAGAAAGCAATAAAATAAAAAAAAAGTACAAATACTTGTCGTCATGTGTGTATGAATGAAAGAAAGTGTGTATTTTACTTATGGTTAATTACATACCGTTGAGGTGCTCTCAGGTGTGTTCCGATGATGTCCCCCCATGGGTTGGAGATTGGACATCCCTCCACCAGGATTGACCATGTCTTGATAATCGTCGCTCATCTCCATCGCGTACGATGGCAACGGCTCTTTGTTCTTAACCCGAATTTTGATTGTTTATTCGGCACTTGGGCCGTCCAATGTTGATTAAAAAACGAAACGTTGAACAAATTGTTCACAACACGCGCGGGCCGGACGGGCCGGATGAGCCGGGCGGGAGGGCCAGATGAGCCGGTCGGGCGGGGAGAGGGTAGTGGTTCAAGAGTTGGTTGCTTATCCAAATTCCTTCCAGTTTTATATGTTTTTTTCTTTCTCTCTCTCTATTGCACAGGAGACCAACACACAATTATAAATTATTATAATAATAATAATAATAATCGATTATTGATCGATTTTTCACTTTAATAATTTTATTCTTTTCTTTTCTTTTCTTTTTTCATTTAATTATTTATTTATCACTTATCGTAGTAACAACGATTTTATATATATATATATGTGTATTTGTGTATTAATTTATTAATTTATTAATAAACGCGAATATGTTATATTGTTGTTTATTATTTTCACAAGGTTGTACACCTGTTTTTATTATATTTTAAATATGCGTATCGATGCGTTCGTATGCTTCTTTTCTTTTCTTTTCTTTTCTTTTCTTTTCTTTTCTTTTCTTTTCTTTTCTTTTCTACTTTTTCTAAACTTCTTTCTTATTCACCTTTTTTATTAATAAGTATTATATTTTATTATATATATATAAAAAAAAAAAAAAAACCAATAAAAGAAAATAATAATTGTTAATTATAATCGTCAAAAATTTGTATCACGGATAATTCGTTAAATTCAAATCGTACGAGTTATTTCCAAAATTTCCTACCACCCTTTTTATAAACAAATAAATCAAATCAAATACTAAAATAATCATCTGAACGATATAAGAGAGTGTTGATCTAACCCGGGGGCTGAGGGGGAGGGCGGCGGGTTAATTCACACACACACAAGAAAAAAAAAAAATATATATATATATATATATAAATAAAAAAATCAAATATTAATTTCAATTGAAGATTCGCGCAATGAAGTTTGTCAAACTTTTTTTTTTCTCAAACTTTTACCACAAATTTATTTAATCATCCGTTTGTAGTGGCGCCGTCGATAGAATGGGACTGACGGCGGAAAAATGCTCAAACGTTCCTATCCCTTCTTCCAAAAACGAAGCTAGGAACCACAATGAAAAAAGATGGATAAATTCAGATGAAGAGATACATTGGAAAAGAGAGAGAGGGGAGGGGTTGGGGAAGGGGGTTATAGAAGGAACGGGCAAAGGGATCGGAAAAAAGGTATTGTAAAGTGAGAGAGAGAGAGAGAGAGAGAGAGAGAGAGAGAGAGAGGAAAAAAAAGGTAGGGATGGGCTTACTAGGCCAACTTACTATGGGCCAACTAGTTTAACACGACGACGACCACGATGACGCCTATACACAACGACGATACACTTAGAAACACTCGTATTGTTATTTTCTTTTGCCTTCCCCCCCACCCCGGCTTTTTATATTTTTCCTTATTTTTGCTTTTGTCCCTTTTTTTTTTCGATTCGTTCCCTTTTTTTTTCTTTAAACTTTCTTCTTCACTTTTAAACGTTTAACACCACGACGACGAACATGATTGTCTTCCTTTTGTTACAGTTATTATTATTATTAATTAATTAATTAATTTAATTAGATGTATCTTGTCAAACGTCTCTCATTATATTTGTTTTTGTACGTTAATTGTGACATATAAAAAAGAACAAAAATGTCATTTACTTGCGAGTTACATATAAAACCACGCTTCGATCTTCGTTTCCTCAACTTCGGAATTAGAAAATTCATTGATCATTTATTTACGCGTATAATTAAACAATATTTAATGATGAGCACGTTTGTTAAGGGTTGAACGACGATATTATTATTATTATAATGCTAATAATAATAATAATAATAATGATAATATAAAAAACAAGAGCACACACGTTTATATATTTATGGACAAGTAGAGGACTGATGACGCGCGCGCACCGCGTCCTCTAGTGATCTGACTTAAGCGCGCGCGTACGAGTCTCCGAGAACATAGAGTAGACACCTTTTCCCCCACCACGCGGCCTCAACTACTAACCGCCAACCGGCGCTTTAACAGTGGGTGGAGCTTTACTAAAGAGAATTGATAACCACGCCTACTAATACCTGAAGATACTACTATACACTCCTTGTATTGGATCATATCAACGTAATCCTACTCCAATTTTCTTCCTGCATCCAATCGTAACGCGTTTAAGATATCATTCCCCCCTTTATAACCCCTTACTCATTTCTTAAACCCCAATCAGTTAAACTTTTATACTGATTTTTGTGTGTGCGTGTGTGTGTGTTTTTCTTTTCATCTTTTACATGGAAATCATATTCGAAGGATCATTATCGATGATCGTTCTCCCCTCCCTCCCCCACCACCACTTTTATCCTATCCCCCCACCATTCGATCTCAATCTCGAAAAGTTTCAGGAATTTTTACTGAATTTTTGTACACCTCTACACTCCACCACTTTTATATCAAATTCTTCCCATTTTGCTGCTGCTTCTTCTTCTTCTTCTTCTTTCTCTTTCATCATCGCAGCTGCTATACTACGACCGCAGAATGAAATATTTTTGTATCGTTCGGTGAATAGGAAGTTGTTAAAAATAGGAAACCCTTTACAAATGCCATGGAGTAAATTTTTTGCAAAATATAATCTAACCTAACTTACAGTAGACAGGTAGAAGAAAGTCCAGGTAAAAATGCTGTTACTTTAGGGGTTTATAGTAAATGATTTTCATTAACATTTGATATTACTTTTGAAAAAAAACATTAAAAAAAATCTAACATTTAACATAAAAATTTAACACGTTATAACAACTTTCAACGCCGGTGTCTTTTAATATCAACGATATGTAGACCTTTTTCATCATTTATTTCTTCAAAATGGGCCGAACCACCTTTTCACTTTTTTAATACAATAATTAATAATTCTAATATTGAAAAAAAAAAAAAACCAAATTCAATGAAATTGTATACAATAAAAATAAATTATTTTCCATAGAAAAGTAGGACACTTTGAAATCTAAAGAAACATAAGAAAAAATCATCAAAATTGTATAAATGTGATCCCAAAAATATATACGGTTATTCGTATTTTTATTTTAATTATAAATAAAATTTGAATTAACTCTCGCAGGGATTACAAATCAAAATTCTTCGACAAAAGGTTGACACGTGGTTAATATACAAGCCCTATTTATCTATCATTTTATTTTATTTGCTTCATTCATTGAATTCAGCCGATGGAGTTCAAATTTAATGATGGAAAAAATGTTTTCAATACAAGTTAAGAAATAAATATAAGTTTCAATAACAAATAGAAATAAATAATAATATAAATATATTAAATCATAATTTTAATGAAAAATGTATGATAAATTAAATACGTAAATTTCAACATCATATTAATTAAATAAAATAAACTACGATGTTAGATTAATTCAACAAAATTACATTGAACAACAAATACAATTTGAAAAGTAGATTTGTTTAAACAAACTTACTGTATTTTACAGATAAAATTATCTAAAATCAAAACACAGCATGGGATTTCAATTCGATAGATTGATTAATCTTTTTTGAAGAAATAAATGATAGAAATCTTTGAACTATCTTCTAGATAAGATCCTTTTAAGATCATTTTTGAATAATATACAAAGATTACGACTATGCTTTTCCTGTATATTAATAGATTTGTGAGAGCGTATATATACGGCTTTTAGCAGTTAAAAGATTAAATGCAAAATTAAAGTCAAATGATAAATGTAATCGTTTGAGTTTTTTGAATTTGTTAAATGAAATGAAATAAAATTGAAAGAGATAAGAAGAAAAAAAGGAAAAAGAAGAAGTGTCGTTTAAAATGCAAAAAATTATCTTTGAACTTCCGATGAAGATAGGAAAAATGTATGTGATGCGGGCCACACACACACACACACACAAATACAAATACATATATAATAAGAATCAAGTAACGAATTCACCAATGAGAAGGAAAAGGATAAGAAGAAGTAAAAAAGGTGAGATAAAATAAAAGAAGGGTGAAAGAAAATTTATTCTTTTGGCGTATTTTCGAAGAAAAACACCTGTCATCTGTTAATTTAAAAAAGAAGAAGAAGAAGAAGAAGAAGACGAGGAAGAGGAAGAAGAAGAAAAGGAAGAAGAAAAATGGGGTGGTTGGAATAATTGTACCTTCAATTTAATACAATTACGATGATTTCTTTTTAAATGTAAAAGTCGCAAAAATGCATTAACTTAAATTGCACGCTTATTTGTATTATCTGTTCATCTATACACACACATATACTAATTATAGAAACGAATATATATATATATATGAATATTATTCGATCGATATTATTCGATTTAAACTAACACAATAAAATATTATTCTTTAATAAAATATATAAAACTAAATAACGTTTATGTTACATGTAAATTTGTTTTGTTCTTTGTTTTTTTCTAATAATAATTAATAATTATTATTTTATTTTTGTAAATACAAATTTTATTGAAATACGAACTAAATTATTTTGAAAAAATATTCATCGAAGTTCAAACTAAATTAATTAATAAAATATTCATCGAAGTGCGAACTAAATGATTTTGAAAAAAAATATTCATCGAAGTGCGAACTAAATGATTTTGATAAAAATAATAATCGAAGTAGAAATTAAATATTTTTTTCACATAATTTATCGTAGTACAAACTACGAAGTAAATTATTTTGGAAAAATATATATTATATCAAAGTACAAATTAAATTTTGTTTTTTTTTTCACATATTTTTTCTCAAACAATGAATGTAGTTCATCATCATAACATGATGTAACATGAAGTAACATGAATGTAGTACATCAATTGATGTAATCACATGAAAAATAATTTAGTTAATTATTTTATAAAATGATATTCTCCTTTATAGATACGTTACTGTGTGCATCAACCTGGATAAAAATGTACAATGTAAACCTCCGCCTTACCAACATAAAATAGACGATCAACGTATAGAAATAATAAAAAGAAAAAAATCCGCGACAGAATTATTCTATAAATTTAATATTTTATAATGGAAATTTTTAATTGAATAAAAATTATATAAAAATAAATAAAATAAAAGAAAAGAAAAGAAAAGAACCATAGAAAAGAAGGGATAGCTACGAAAGTAGGTGCGTACGCCAGGTGCGTATTATATTTATAAAAACCCCAACGCAATTTTTTTTAATATAAATTTTTTTTTATAAAAATCACAAATATCACATCCTAATCACAAAGAAAGAATAAAAAATCAAAATTAGTTCGTATAAATAATAAAAAAAAAGAAAAGAAAAGAAAAGAAAAGAAAAGAAAGGAAAGGAAAGGAAAGGAAACGGCAAGCAAAATATAAAATGGCAGGTGTGTCTTATATTTATGACGAATATAATAATAATTTAAATAAATCACCAATATCATYACAATCCTAATCACAAATAAAGAATAAAAAATCAAAATTAGTTCGTATAAATAATAGAACAAAAGAAAAGAAAAGAAAAGAAAAGAAAAGAAAGGAAACGGCAAGCAAAATATAAAATGGCAGGTGTGTCTTATATTTATGACGAATATAATAATAATTTAAATAAATCACCAATATCATCACAATCCTAATCACAAATAAAGAATAAAAAATCAAAATTAGTTCGTATAAATAATAGTAAAAAAGAAAAGAAAAGAAAAGAAAAGAAAAGAAAGGAAACGGCAAGCAAAATATAAAATGGCAGGTGTGTCATATCTATGACGAATATAATAATAATTTAAATAAATCACCAATATCATCACAATCTTAATCACAAATAAGGATAATAATAATTAAACAAAACAAAAAATTCAATTCACTCACCGGAATAACTGATGATAAAAACGAAAAAATGAAAATTACAGATACGTAATAAAGAAAAATAATGAAATAATTTAAATTATTATTATTATTAAAATAATAATAATAACAACAACAACAACTACAACACGACGACAACAACAAATGATTAAATGTGAAGTTTAAATGAACAAACAAACTAACAAAAATTCGACGCTGCCTTTTGTAGATGTTTCTTCCTCGATAGTCTGTAATAGAATGACCACTATAAAATGATCTAAACTGATCAAGCCTATGGTGGTATGGGGAGTCGGTTCTATAAATCGCATTTTAGGATACGAACGTGACCATGGTGGAGAAATCATCGGATCTAACGGGTGATTTAAAAATCAGAAATATCCTTTTTTCTTCTAATTCGTTTACATTGACATTTTTCAACAATACAATTCACGTTCGGGGCAGGGCGGGGCGGGGGGTAAATTCAACATTCGATCGAATGTAATATAATAAAATTAAATCAAATAAAATACACGATGACGATGAACAAAAAAACAAAACAAAACAAAACAAAACAAAAAAAGAAAATATTCAAAATAAAAAATACATTATTTTATTTTATTAATAATAATTTTTTACTATACGAATTAATCCTTGACGTATATATATATATATATATATATATATATATATATATACGC